TACTGAGTCGAATGAGGCACTGCACACCTTCACACTGGACTCAGGTGCTTCTCGCTGTTTCTTTCGTGACCGCACTGCCCTTGAGCAGCTTGCTCGGCCAGTTGCTGTCTCCCTCGCTGACCCCTCTGGGGGTCCGGTCATTGCGACCTCCTCCACTATCCTTCCTTGTCCTGCGGTCCCGTCGGGCACACTGTCCGGTCTCCACCTCCCCTCATTCTCTACGAACTTGGTGGCGGGTTGTGCGCTCCAGGACGGGGGTGTTCACCAGTTCACCCCTGCCTACGAGCGCGTGACACACTGCACGTGTGCTCGGACGGGCCGTCACCTGGCTACCTTCACTCGGCAGCCGGGGTCGGACCTGTACACACTGACCACTGAGTCCCCTCAGGTAGCTGCGTCTGCGTCTGCGTCAGGTCAGCTGTCGGCCCCCTGCTCGTGTCGCTCTCTGGCGCACGAGACCGTCCTCTGGCACCACCGACTTGGTCACCCGTCCGTACAGCGCCTTCGTGCCATGCATAAACGGTACCTTGTATCTGGTCTTCCCAGGGTTCTCCCTCCCCTCCCACCCTCGCCTGCTCCTCCCTGTCTTCCCTGTGTCGAGGGGCGGCAGCGCGCCGCTCCTCACTCCTCCTCGTTTCCCCCGACGACTGCTCCCTTGCAGACGCTCCACATGGACGTGTGGGGCCCAGCCCGCGTCCGTGGTCAGGGTCAGGAGAGGTACTTCCTGATAGTTGTTGACGACTACTCGCGCTTAACCACGGTCTTCCCCTTGCGCACCAAGGGTGAGGTCCCTGATGTTTTGATCCCTTGGATCCGCGCTTCTCGTCTCCAGCTCAGCGAGTGTTTCCACTCGGACTTTCCTGTCCTACGCCTGCACTCTGACAGAGGTGGTGAGTTCTCCTCCGACCTCTTGGCAGCCTACTGTGCGGAGCACGGCATCCGCCAGTCGTTCACGCTTCCGGCCTCTCCACAGCAGAATGGGGTTGCTGAGCGCCGCATTGGCTTGGTCATGGAGGTCGCTCGTACCTCCTTGATCCATGCGGCTGCCCCCCACTTTCTGTGGCTGTTTGCCGTCCGATACGCTGCGCATCAGCTCAACCTCTGGCCCCGTGTCTCCCTGCCGGAGACTTCCCCGACACTGCGTTGGATGGGAGAGGTTGGCGATGCGTCGCGTTTTCGGGTCTGGGGATCTCGAGCTTTTGTTCGCGATACGTCTGCGGACAAGCTCTCCTCCCGCACTGTTCCTTGTGTCTTCCTTGGCTTTGTCCCGGACGCGTCTGGTTGGCAGTTTTACCACGCCACCTCGCGCCGTGTCCTGCCCTCTCAGGACGTCACTTTTGACGAGTCCGTGCCCTACTACCGCCTCTTCCCCTACCGCACTGCCCCGCTCCCCCCCCCGCCTCTCTTCCTCGCGCCAGGTGCTGCTGTGGTAGACCCCCTCCCCCCTCAGGGTGCCGCTCCCTCAGGTGTGTCCCAGGTAGACCCGGTTGAGCCTGTCGAGGTAGCTGTCGACTCTCGTCCTGCTAGGGGTGCTGAGCCTGAGCGTGCGGAGCCTGGGGTTGCGGAGTCTGGGGGTACTGAGCCTGGGGGTGCGGAGCCTGCGGGTGCTGAGCCTGGGGGTGCGGAGCCTGCGGGTGCTGAGTCTGGAGGTGCTGAGCCTGGGAGTACTACACCTGGAGGAGCTCTCTCCTCACAGCAGCTGCGTGAGTGGTACTTACAGTACTGCAGCCTCAGGAGAGGTGCTTCTGGAGCTAGGAGTGCTGCTGGAGCTGGTGCTAGTGCTGCTGACGCTGCTAGAGCTGCTGCTGGTGCTGAGGACCCGGGCGTTGGAGCTGCTGCTGGTGCTGCGGACCCGGGAGTTGGAGCTGCTGCTGGTGCTGCGGACCCTGGAGTTGGAGCTGCTGCTGGTGCTGCGGACCCTGGAGTTGGAGCTACTGCTGGTGCTGAGGACTCTGGAGTTGGAGCTACTGCTGGTGCTGAGGACCCTGGAGTTGGAGCTGCTACTGGTGCTGCGGACCTGGGAGCTGGTGCTGCCGGTGTAGCTGGAGACTCTGGAGCTGGATGTACTGGTGGTGCCTCTGCTGGTTCTGGAGGCGCTACGCGGCCGCGGCCGTACTTCGTTCCGCTCCTTCAGCAGGTTCTTGGTCAGCCGCCCCCCCCTAGTCCTGCTCCCTCCTTAGAGTGTCCTCCGCCTGTCCAGTCGCAGTCACAGTTACCGCCTGCCTCGCCACTCCCTGGTCCTTCTCCTTACACTGGTCCGACAGGCGGTCTCACTGAGCGTCGTGAGCATGAGTCTCGTCCTGTGTCGCCACAGTCTCGGTCTTCTTCGCCTGTTCGTGCTGCTCGCACTGGTCGTCGTGTCATGCGTCAGCGTCCGCCTGCTGTCCCAGGCACTCACCAGATGGCGCTTCGTCCTTCCACTGCTCCTCAGCGTGTCCCTCTGCCGTCTCCTCCTGCGTCCTCTCTTCCTGCTCTTGCTGACCCGGAGTCTGACTCCCTCCGTGCTGCCAGTCCTACTGTCACGCGTCTCCTCGCCACTGTTGTCACTGACCCTACCTTTGAGTCCTCTGCTGCGTCTGCTCTAGTAGCTGAGTTAGTTGACTTTGCTGCCGCTTGTCGTCTAGACTACGCCGCTAGCCTTGTCGCTGAGTCTGAGTCTGTCTGTCCTCCGTCCGTCGGGGGTGAGTGTGCTCTTGGCACGGACGTCCTTGAGGACAGGCAGGAGGAGTTTGAGTGCTTTGCCGCTGCTTTACCTCATCTCGTGTCCATGCTTGTTGCCCCTGAGGGAGACCCGGATGCTCCAGACATCCCGACCCCGCGCTCTTACGCTGAGGCGATCGCGGGTGAGTACTCCTCTCAGTGGCAGACAGCCATGGACGCAGAGATGGCTTCTTGGAAGTCCACAGGCACCTACGTCAACGAGGTTCCCCCACCTGGGGCGAACATCGTCAGTGGCATGTGGATTTTCAGGGTGAAGCGGCCGCCGGGTTCTCCGCCTGTCTTCAAGGCGCGTTACGTTGCACGAGGCTTCAGTCAGCGAGAGGGAGTTGACTTCTTCCAGACCTTCTCCCTGACCCCGAAGATGACCACTCTTCGGGTTCTGCTGCACGTCGCCGCTCAGCGTGACTACGAGCTCCACTCTCTTGACTTCAGCACTGCTTTCCTACAGGGCAGCCTGCACGAGGATATCTGGCTGCGCCGCCCACCTGGCTTCACTAGGTCGTTCCTTCCTGGTACCCAGTGGAGCCTCCGGCGGCCAGTCTACGGTCTCCGACAGGCGCCGCGTGAGTGGCACGACACAATGAGGACTACACTTGCGGCTCTTGGGTTCGCTCCTTCTACTGCTGACCCGTCGCTGTTTCTACGCACCGACACTTCGCTGCCGCCGTTCTACATCCTCGTGTACGTCGACGACTTGGTCTTTGCCACTGCTGACACTGCGGCACTCGCCCACGTGAAGTCGGAGCTGCAGAAGAGACACACGTGCACAGACCTGGGTGAACTGACAAGCTATCTTGGCTTGCGGATCACCCGGGACAGAGCACGGCGCGCCATCACCTTGACTCAGTCACACATGGTGCAGCAGGTCCTTCAGCGCTTCCGCTTCACGTACTCCTCGCCTCAGCCCACTCCTCTGCCTACCGGTCACTCGCTCTCAGCTCTGCCTTCGGATGAGTCCGTAGAGCCGAGTGGCCCGTATCCAGAGCTTGTGGGCTGCCTCATGTATCTGATGACCTGCACTCGACCTGACCTTGCATACCCTCTTAGCATCCTTGCACGCTATGTCGCTCCTGGCCGTCACCGGAAGGAGCACATGGATGCAGCTAAGAGGGTGTTGCGCTACTTGTGCAGTACGTCGGGCATGGGGCTAGTGCTTGGAGGACGAGACCGAGTTGTACTCACTGGGCACTCAGACGCTTCTTGGGCTGACGACCAGGCTACTCAGCGGTCGTCTCAGGGTTACACCTTCAGCCTTGGCTCTGGTTCAGTTTCTTGGCGTTCTACACGCTCGTCTTCTGTTCTCAGCTCCAGTTGTGAGGCTGAGATCTACGCCACAGCCATGGCTGCACAGGAGTTACGCTGGCTCACCTACCTGCTGACCGACTTGGGAGAGCGGCCTTGTTCTCCTCCAGTGCTATACGTCGACAACAAGGCTGCCATTGCCTTGTGTGAGGAGCACAGACTGGAGCACAGAACGAAACATATCGCTCTGCGCTACTTCCTTGCTCGAGAGCTGTAGCAGCGCGGTCAGCTTCGTCTGCGTTACGTGACCACTCGGGCCAACACTGCTGATGTGTTCACCAAGGCGCTTCAGCCTTGTGACCATCAGCGTTTCTGTACTGTTCTAGGCCTTGTGCCTACTCTCCCTCACTTGCTCACTTCTTGACTCTGCTTGTACTGTGATCTCTATATATATACCTGCATGCTTACACTTGCTAGGTTGTGATCACTGTATCTCTTGTTCTATTATCAAACTGCATGTGAACTGGTCTTGTGACCACTTGCTTGTGCTCGGAATTTGTGTGGTATCCTTGAGATCCACCCTGAGCTTGTCTTGCTTTGCTTTGCTTTGTCTGGTCTTGTGACCGCTTGATCTCCCCCACTTAGCCTATGGGGGTGTGTCAAACATTATATATGTTGTATTTGTGTAGGCTACAGTGGGTTAGCCTTTAGGGGGTACATTATTCTAGGGTCAGGTATTTGTACTCTCACTTGTTTCTAGTCCAATGACTTCTTCTTTCTAACAGACGCGCCGCCTCAAATGACACTGGATACGCGACATGGGCGGCTCGAGCAGAGGAAGAGGATGACGCCAACGGTCTTGATGACGACAGTAGGGGAGCTACGAACGCTGAAGGCGGCATGCCCATAGATGAAGAGTACGAAGGTACGCGTCAAGTGCGAAAAGCATGAACCCAATCTCTGCGTTCGGCGTCGACTTGTCCCAAACACTTGACGGAAGACTGGGAATGTGTTGTACTAACCCTTCGATTACGGCAATGCCTTGCTTTACAGAATCCCTCCGCCAACAGCGTCCGGTGTCAGCGGTGACAAATTCGGCACCACGAGCCTCATCCGTGGATAGAGATGGCAACCCAGCGAGCGCCCGATCGGGAGGTCCAGGCCCAGCGATACCACCACAGCGAAACAGCCGCGGAGGGTCGAGGTTCACAGACAACTTCGTGGAGTCGCTGCTGGCGCGCCTGCGCGCACAGGATCTGGAGTTACTAGACATGAGGGGAAAGCTGGTGGCGGGCAACCAAGAAAAGGAACAAGACGAGCGCCACGACAACAGTCCTAAGCGGCAGAAAACGGCACACGCAAGGGGAGAACGGGAGGCACCCCAGAGTGCACCCGACGAGGATCCTACGTACCCTGAGAATAACGATACTTTCCCCTTCGCACAGTTCTCACCGTTCGTACACGAGGTGATGCAGGCTCAGTTCCAGGCACGCTACGCGTGTCATTTGCCGCTGAACGCACGCATGGGCGGGTGGGCGCGGACGCTGTGTTGTGCCGACATGGCGCTCCCTCAGATGGACAAAGGGTGGCAGGTGAGCGAAACTTATTCGGTTCGCGCGAGTCAACTATAAAGATCCCAGCTCCCGACCATAGCACGTACGCACATTGGACAGATTGCACAGACGAAAATCTGAGACCTCTACACTGTATTTATCTTGCTCTCTACTCCCTTGCGTCGCAGGAGAAGGTCGACACCGGCGTGGCATATATCCGCGACGAGCTCCCCGACGCCGAGACGTCCTTCTGGCCGGACGACGCTCTGATGGAACGCGCAATGGCGCACTCGATGGAGTTCACCGAGAAGGAGGACCTGTCGAAATTGCATCTCGTACTAGAGCTCGACAAGAAGAGGAGCGGGTATTGCACGCACGCGATGCAGAAGTTCCGCTCGGACGTCTGGCTGATAGTGCGGGCGTTCTTCCGCATCCTCAACGGACTGAAGTACACGAAGCCCCCCACCGCACGTATTGCGCTAGCGGCGGCTCCAGATGCGTTGGTAGTCACGCCAAAGACGGACGAGGAGTTCACAGAGAAATATGCCGCCAGTGAGTAGTGTGGGCTCCCGTAATCTGTCACGCACTATTGTTAATTACCCCTTCTTTTCACGTCTCGCTTGTGCGCAGCCTCCTTTTCCCACGACCTCATGACGTGGCAATGCGCCGAGGAAACCCCTGAGCTGCCCTTCTCTTCGGAGTCCTTTGACCGAGGGATATACGCGGCATACAAGTCGAGTCCAAAGCCGCCGCAGGTCGTGAAGCTCTACTCTGTCGCGTTTTGGCTTTTCGGGGTAAGCACCCTTGTTCACAATCAGAGCATGTAAACCACAGAGGTATAATCTGCTCACCCACTGTGCGCCATGTGGTGTCTCAGACGGAGCAACCCCTGCTGAAGAAGACCGTGCTCAAGAAGAGCGGCCCCCAGAACGGCACCACCGTGGAGTGGTATCATCACCGCTTGAAGGCCTGGGCAAAGCATGCCATCATCGAGCGCACGCCAGAGCACGGACCCTGGTGGAAAGCCAAACGCAAGGCGTGGGCGTTCAAGCGCCATGCTCTCGTCCTCATCTCAGACGACGGCCAATTCCTCGCGCCGCTAAGGGAGGCCGAGAGCCGCGATGAGTGATGGTGCTTGATGGGCTTGAGCTGCTGTGTGAATTGTGGTGCTGCAAGACAGGGTGTTTGGAGTTAGCGGAAATAATACTATCGACCGAGGGAGTGGTGGTCTGCCTGTTGCTAACGCACCATGTATATATGAAGGTGTATGAATAATCTAGTATTGCATTTTCGTTTTCTACGCAGACGATTTTGTACCTGCTCTGGATGCACATCGATGCACAGGCAGTAGACATATCCTCATGAGCGCACGTTGCTAAATTTATGTAAAACGTGGCCTGGTAAATTCGTAATTGTATGTTACCTGAAATGTAACGTGTTTAGAGTAGCTGTAGTGCAGTGTTATATAGAAGCGATTCAACAGTGACTGTACGAGAGGGTGATAGTACAGAGAGACGCGAAACAAGTATCGTAAGCCTGAAGAGTTGATAGTGGATCGATACTACACTGCTATCTAATTTAATGCAGATTGTGACTATACGCCATGGTGATAGCAGAAGAGTGGTTAGTAGTTTTAACCTTTTGTAGCTCAGTCTTAGTTGACAAGTCATTACGCAATAGTATGGAGTCGACTTGTATCCCGTTACTTGTGCCGACACGTGGTCGAATAAGCAGTCGAGAAGATGCGAGCGCAAGTGCGAACCGAGCTAACATTGCGGCAAATTTTGCTGGAGAACGGAGGCTAACAACGCAACATTCTTTTTGTGCAGTTGGCGACAGTGCACGTTACGTTAATGAGCACCTCCAGGTTAGTTGCGTGTATCTTACTTCATGGCGAGATGAAAGTAAGATCGAGGTTACAAAACGGGACCCCAATTTTTGGGACGTGCTCGCGACAGGCACTCTCTGAAATCGTCCACGTCAGCCTGACGTGGCTCGGCATTAGTCACGGCTGACGTCATCCTTCACAAGGCCCTTCCTCGCCAGCCAGTCAGAAGCTTCGTGTTCTTTCCTGTGTGAGACCGGGCTGTACTGCTATCTAGGAAAGACGGAGTTGTGTAAGATCCACTATGCCGAGCCTGCTGAGGCTCGGACGTGGTGGTTGGAATGCCTCCGAGCCTCGAAGGTCTAGGCTGAGAAGAGAGCGGTTCGACGACGGTGCGCCGGCAGACGGACAACAGACGCGCACCCGTTGCGCGCATGGCGAGGGACAGCCCGCCGTGGAGTCAGTGCATGTGAACACGCCCTGCGAAGAGCTGCGCGGTTAATACTGAGGAGGCGCTACGCGGAAGCTTCCAGTTCACGGTGGCGTGGGGCTTGGGCAAGGGGGAAGAGGTCCGTTGCGCGGTCAACGCGACGAGATGCTCGCGACGCGAGTGGTAACGCGGGTTGAAGCGAGAGCGGCGCGGGGAACCAGGCAGGATGAGGGTGAAAAGCGGAGTATGCGCGTGAGCTACTTCCGTCCATGCCTCGTCAGCAAATGGCAGCCGCCAACGCCGAAGTAGTGTTCTGCGCGGCTCGCGAAGGTGGGCAAGCAATGCACTTAAAGGGGTGGAATGCGGTACAGAACAACGTTTGGCAATTGCTGGAGAAAAAAAACAGCTTTATAACATCGTTTGGTAAATAGTACGACGGATTCTATAATTTGAGGTGAGGACTGCTTACAACATCCACCAAACGCACTCCTGCATCCCACTCCCTGCGTTCTCCTATCTGTGCGCATCTTGTCTCACATTACAATGCACAATGAAGATTATCAGCAATTGGTAGCAACGGACTGGAGTGGTCAATGGGAATCACATCAGCACATCTGCCTGGCTTTCACATCACAATGCAGTCCAACATCGTGCAACTTTCACCACTCGCTGGCCAACCACACGTCGCCAAGTGGCGGCTCCCTGGGCACAAGAGGCATGGCCCTCACATCATCTGCCCCCAGCCGAATGCCAAACCGGCCCCTCACCACCGCATCGAACTCCTCGTCTGTTACCAGCTGCTGCTGACTCTGATCACGGGAGAAACGGGATGCACGCGCATGAAGTGGATGAGAGAAAGGCGTTGGGGATGGGAGAGAGAGCGAGAGAGGAAAAGGCTTTGCTTTTGGAGGGAGGAGGCGAGGAGACATGGCCTAGTGGTTCCATGGCGAGGAAGGTGAACAACATGGAAACACGTACTCGCAGCATCCACCTTCGCCCCTCCTTCCCTCTAACACCTGCAGCAGCAGCTCACTATCGCAATATATTTGCACCCTCCTCACCCTTACCCGCTTACTTGCCTTACTACCAACCCCCCCACGTACTCGACCCGCTCACCTGCACGCGCCTCTCTCACCTGCACGCGCCTCTCTCACCTGCACACGCCTCTCTCACCTGCACCCGCCTCTCTCACCTGCACGCGCCTCTCTCACCTGCACCCGCCTCTCTCACCTGCACCCGCCTCTCTCACCTGCACCCGCCTCTCTCACCTGCACCCGCCTCTCTCACCTGCACGCGCCCCTCGCCATCCAGCAGCAGCAAGTGGCGGTCGCGAATCACCCCCCTGCCCTCCACCTCCCTCTCCTCCTCGCTGCACACGCGCACCGCCACACGCGGCCCGCCCAGGGGCGAGGCATGGCGCATGCACTGCAGAGAGCGGCGGGTGGGAGGGAGGGCAGAGTAGGAAGAGAGGGGGCAGGAGAAAGGGCTGGCTAGAAGCAGCGGGTGGCAGGGGCTGGTATAGAGGCGCGCATGCAGCTGTGCAAGGGCTGGTGCCCCGGCAAGCTTGCTTTGTGCATGACTCCATGGCACAGGCAGGAGGGAACGAGGCAAGAGGGCGACGGGCGAGGTGGGAGCACCTGGAGGAAGTGAGCTGTGTCATGCGGCCACGAGGAGAAGCGATACAGCGGCTGCCACTGCGCCTCCTCCTCACAAGCGGCCTTCCCCCATGCTGCCTGCTTGCCATCTGCTGCTGCCCATCTCTCGCCTGCTTCACTGGGCCCCACGCGGCACAGCCGCTCCACCACATACCACTGCTCGCCTGCCCTCACCGCTGCTGCTGATGCTGCCTGTCCACCTGCAGCATGCGTGAGCCGCGGTGGGCACGGTGTCCCGTGGCCACGCACACCCTCCGTGTAGAAGTCATCATCATCATCGGGGTCTGAATCTGAATGTGCCTCCCTGCCAGCACTCCTCTCACCCATGCGCCCATCCATTCCTGCCTCTACGTGCTCCACTGCCCACCCCTGCACGCCTCTTTCTACTGCCCTCCATCCCTCCCTGCCCCTGTCCGCTGCTGCTACTGCTGCAAATGGCTTCTCCGAGCCGTCTGCTGTGCATGCAGGCGCCACACTGACAGCCCCCGCACCTCGTCCACGCACCCAAGGGGCTGCACCGGCAGGTGCTGGTGGGTGGGGCGGGGCGCATGGGGATATGCGGTACACCCCCGCGTCCTGGTGCTGTGGGGGAGAGGGGTGGTGGGATAGAGAGGTGGCATGGAGAGGAAACGCTTGGGTGAGGAGATAGAATGGGTGGGAGTGGGAATCGCACATCACATCACAGCAAGGAATGGAGGGACGTGTGTAATGAATGGAGATGGGAGGCGAGGGGAAGGAGGGGCCTGCCTGGTGGATGGCGGGTTGGAAGAGCAGTGGCTCCAGGAACATGGGGTGGGGCAAAAGGCTGCTGGGGCAGCAGGGCGTGCTGACGTCAGCGAGCCATGCCATGCCGTTGATGTGCACCAGCAGACACATCTGCATGCGGGAGGGGGGAAGGAATGGGGGGTGGTAGGACAACGCATGGTGAGAGGGCATGTGCATGAATGAAAACACATGAGTAGGTGGGTGGGTTGTTGGTTGGGTGGGTGGGTGGGTGTGTAGGTGGGTGGGTGGGTGTGTGGGTACAGGACAGTACGGGATAGGAAGAGCCAAGTCACCGAGTGAGATGGCTCACTCACGTCGTACATGATCTGCCAGCTCTGCACTTGCTGATGAGGCAGCTGCACGAGCTGACTGGACAGGCTGCTGCGCTGAGTCAGCAGGAGATGAGAGGCGAGCCACGCAGGCAGCCGCATGATCTGACGATGGCGCCGCTGCAGGGGAGGCAGCATTCAAAGTAGCAGCCAGTACAGGTGGTTGACGAGAGGAGCGACAGGAGGAGGACGGAGGGGAGTGGTGGTGGCGGGGCGAGTGTGGCGAGTGGCAGGAGAGGGCGGGGAGGAGGTCGACCTAGCAGGCGAGGTGGTGGCGGAGCACCCACGCCAACAGCACGTTGGACTGCCTGTGCACGCACACAGGAGGTGGGGGGGGTGGGAAGGAACGGTGATTGGATAGGGGTCAGCTTACGGGGGCCCGTGGTGCTCTGCGCGGCCTTAACAGCTCCTCACAGGCCCTGCGGTGTGGCGTGGGTGAACAGGACGAGGGCGTAGGTGCAAGCGGGAAGGAGTGTTGCAAGCTGGCGTGCAGGAGAGGTGAGTGAGGCAGGACGGTGAGGGTGAGGCAATGGGATATGGTGATATGCTGCGAGCGACGAGCAGCACGTGGCGTTCTCGAAGACTCCCTCGCCATTTCTGCATCATCAACATCACAGCATCATCAACATCACAGCATCGCAACATGCATTTCCCTGCCGTGCTTCGCGCCGTCCCCATGTCCGCGCCTCATGCGAGCATGCCCCTCACACCTGTCGCGGCGTCACCTCCCGTGCGCCCCCCTCACCTGGAAGCACGAGCCCCCTCACCTAGAAGCACGAGCCCCCTCACCTGGAAGCACGAGCCCCCTCACCTGGAAGCACGAGCCCCCTCACCTGGAAGCACGAGCCCCCTCACCTGGAAGCACGAGCGAGGGGGCGGCTGTGCGAACGTGCGGCGGCGGGAAGGGGAGGCGGTGGCAAAGTCGGGGGCGGCGGCGGCGAGCTGGCCGCGACGACGAAGGGCGCAGGTGACAGCGGAAGGGCCGCGGCGGCGATGTTGAGAGCGGCGGCTGCAAGCAGGTTGCGGCGGCGGAAAGGTGAAGGCGGCGGGGAAATGGCTGCGGCGGCGAAACGAGGGACGGCGGCGGCAGGCAGGCCGCGGCAACGAGGGGCGCAGGGGGAGGGGGAGGGGGGGGGGAGAGGAGTAGGGAGAGGAGGAAGGGAGGGTGCAGTTGCGGCTGAATCTGCAGGCGGCGACGGGGCAGTCACGGCGGCAGGAAGTGTGGGCGGGGATGGCGCGGTCGCGGTGGAGGATGGGCAGGCGGCGCCGAAGCAGTGGCGGCGGCAGGGCGGCGGCGGCGCAGTCGCGTTAACGGGAACCGCGGGGCGACGATGTTGCAGTTGCGGCGGGGGAAATTGCGGGCGGGTGGCGATGCAGAAGGGGCAGCGAAATGCGTGGGTGACGCGGAAGCAGGTGCGGCGGTGGGAGGGGAGGCGGAAATGCGAAATCGCGGCGGGGGGGGGGGGGGGGGGGGCGCGGGAAGGTGACGACGAGCAGTCGCGGCGGCGGAATGCGCAGGCGGCGATGTTAGGTCGCGGCGGCGGGACGGGCAGGGGGGCGACGAGCTGTCGCGGTGGCGGAATGCGCAGGCGGCGATGTTAGGTCGCGGCGGCGGGACGGGCAGGGGGCGACGAGCTGTCGCGGCGGCGGGACGGGCAGACGGCGCCGAAGCAGGCGCGGCGGCGGGAAGGGGAGGCGGCGACGTGACGTCGCGGCGGAGGGACGGGCAGGCGGCGACGAGGCGTCGCGGCGGCAGGATGCGCAGGCGGCGCTGAAGCAGGCGCGGCGGCGGGAACGCGACGACGAGACGTCGCGGCGGAGGGACGGGCAGGCGGCGACGAGGCGTCGCGGCGGCAGGATGCGCAGGCGACGCCGTAGCAGGCGCGGCGGCGGGAACGCGGCGACGTGACGTCGCGGCGGAGGGACGGGCAGGCGGCGACGAGGCGTCGCGGCGGCGGGATGCGCAGGCGGCGCTGAAGCAGGCGCGGCGGCGGGAACGCGACGACGAGACGTCGCGGCGGAGGGACGGGCAAGCGGCGACGAGGCGTCGCGGCGGCAGGATGCGCAGGCGGCGCCGTAGCAGGCGCGGCGGCGGGAACGCGGCGACGTGACGTCGCGGCGGAGGGACGGGCAGGCGGCGACGAGGCGTCGCGGCGGCGGGATGCGCAGGCAGCGCCGAATCAGGCGCGGCGGCGAGAGGGGGAGGCGGCGACAGGGGGTCGCGGCGAGGGGGAGGAGGGGACAGCGGCGTTGCGCTCGCGGCGGTGGTATCCGCAGGCGAGGAAGGCGTAATCGCGGCGGGAGGGGGGGGGAACGGCGGCGACGGCGTAGGTCGCGGCGAGAGTATGCTAGTGATGGCTAGTTGAGCCACGCGTAGGAAAGGGTTTGTAGCTGTGGGGTGGGCCCATGGGGAAAAAAAAAACTGGAGGGAGGGAGAGGTAAGGCCTAGGAACAAGTAGCTCTATACCATGTGAAACTAGCAAATTGAACAAGTAACTTCATTAGAGGAGAAACCTAGCATACATAGTTGGAAGAGAGGCTTGGAAGAGAAAGGTGAAGGTGACCATAGGTTGGGTTGACCTCACTTGTAGAAGTGAGGCAACCCTAGGCCCACTTGGCTTGAGATGACCTCACTTGTGGGAAGTGAGGCACCCATAAGCCAAGTGGGTTGCATTTGGGGGCTCCACCACAATTGGGTGGATTGGCACCCCAAACTGCAAGACTACACCCAAAGTTGGGTGTAGTCCCAACCCAACTGTACACCACAATTGGTGTACAGTCACATGTGTTGGCATGCTACACAACATATATTTTAACAGTACTTGGGCAGGTGGTACTGGTGCAGGTGGTACTGGTGCAGGTGGTACTTGGGCAGGTGGTACTGGTGCAGGTCGTACTGGGGCAGGCGGAGCTGCAGGAGGAGCAGGTACCAGCAGCAGTGGCAGCAGCAGCACTGTCGCCAGCCTGGCGGTGATAAGCAAGCAGCGGGCGGGCGGACAGCAAAGATTTCAGACGAGGATCTTCTCCGCCTGCAGCAGCTGGCAGAGAAGATCCTCAGCGGGGGTGGTGCAGCCGCAGGCGGGGGTGGTGCGGTGGTGGGGCGGTGCAGTGGGAGGGACAGCAGTTGCGTGCCACTCGTGGAGGCTGCCAGGAAAGCCCCTTGGAGTGTGGCGCTGTTTGGTGCTCCCAGCAACTGCAAGACGATCATGTGAGTGGTGTTTTGGGAAACTGTGTGCATGGAGGTGTGTGGGAAAGTGCTTGTTTCTTGCTTGGATTGGCCCAAGCGGTGGACAGAAGTGCAGCTTTTGGTGGGGGATCTGGTGGGGGCTGCCAGGAAGGCTGCGTGGAGTGTGGCGCTGTTTGGTGCTCGTAATGACTTCCGGACAAACAAGTGAGTGGTTCTTAAGGTGTGTGAGAGGGAGTGTATTTGGGAAAATGTGTCTATGGGAATGTGTTTGGGTGTGTTGGGGGAATGTCATCCTGCACCTGCCAGCCGTACAGATCTACCCACCAGCTGATGTGCAATATCCATTTCCGCTCTTTGCCGTTCTCCTCCCCCATTGACAGGCGGCGAGCAGAAGTGACAGAGTTTCTAGCGAAGCAGGAATCTGATTTGGCGCTCTGCGCCTGCCAGCCGTGCGGATCTGCCCACCAGCTGATGTGCAATATTCCTTTTCCCTTATCGCCTTTCTCCCCTCGCACTGAAGAGCGGTGTGTGGAAGTGGCAGAGTTCCCGGTGAAGTGGCATTAGAGGTAAGTGCGTCAGATCCTGTCAGATGAGCTTAAGTAAGTCACTTATAAGTAGGTCTCTTAGCATCGGTAAGTGCGTTTCTTTTCATATATGTAATATAGTCCTGTGATTGGGTCGGTTGGTCTGTGAAGCTATTCAAGGATGAGATTGACTGGCTCATCCACATGCTGTCAGACGAGCACAAGTGAGTCTTTTGGTTAGCGTAAGTCTGTTGATATAAGTAAGTCTGTTAGGTTCAAGTATGTCTGTTATCTTTCATCCCAATGCATGCGCACATGCTCTCATCCAGATGCTGTCAGACGGGCATAAGTTACCGTAGTCACTTCACGTAAGTAGGTCTCTTTACTGAAGTGAGTCTGTTAGCATAAGTCGGTGTGTTCTAACTCCTGTATCCCCCCCCCTCATGCCTCTCCGAAGCCCTCCACCTTCCAGGAAGGTTCTCTTCAACATGGTTTGTCGCAGGCTGTGCCTGGCCTTTCAGATCGCCACGGGTCACTTCCAGCCTCCACCCACCCACTTGGGGGGCTCTGGCAGCAGGAGCTCTCACCTCCACCGCTATTGCCAGCACCAGCAGCAGCAGCATCAGCAGCAGCAGCAGTTGAGCGGGGTATGGGCCGGTGTACCCGCTACAGAGTCGCATCAACGGTGTGATTTTCATCACGCACCCAAGGTCCGGGAGCACTGCCTGGAGTGGCTGGCTGGCGGCTCGGAGCGTTGTGAATCACAATGTGGAGCCGCACTCACAGCCTCACTTGCTCCCTCATCGGGCATGGCCTCTCGGGCACAGGGCACAGCAGCCACGTGCCCTGCGTCAGTACGGTAGTTTAGCTGTTGTGGTTTGAAGCCATGTTGGAAGGAGGTACCGCTGCTGGGTGTTTGTGTGACCATGTGATCCCCGCTGTACGATCCTGAAGACGAGATACTGAGACACTTTTTTCGCCCATAGCTACCTCAAGCCTTACCGTGTTATGTGCGGTCTCAATGGTGTGGTCCACAGTGGAACAACAGTAAGCCTCTACTTGCTGATTCTTGGCCTACCGTACATCTGGCTTCTGAAAAAAGGATATTCACGAGGAGACTAGCTCTTCCTTGCTAAACAGAAGCAGCAGCCATAGCCATGAGTGCATAGAGAAAAGCAGATGCATTGTAACGAAAGTGGTATGCAGTGCAACAGCTGGCAGCACGCTATTGGAGTAGACGGCGAGCAGGCCGGCGGCAATCCCAAGAGCCACGTGGGGAAAGAGGAGCGAGAGGTAGAGGTGGAAGAGGGCGAAGAGGGCTACAGAGAGCATAGCAGCGTCGATCCTGAGGGAGTGAGAGGCAGGAAAAGGATAGTGCAGGAAGGTGAGTGAGTCAATCAAGACTTGGCCTGCTGACTTGAATTGACTAGCATGATTCGCATTGACTTACTGACTTCAGTTCTGAGATGCACCATGACAGGCTGAGATGCACCATGACAGGATGAGATGTACCATGACAGGATGAGATGTACCATGACAGGATGAGATGTACCATGACAGGATGAGATGTACCATGACAGGATGAGATGTACCATGACAGGATGAGATGTACCATGACAGGATGAGATGTACCATGACAGGATGAGATGCACCATGACAGGATGAGATGTACCATGACAGGATGAGATGCACCATGACAGGATGAGATGTACCATGACAGGATGAGATGTACCATGACAGGATGAGATGTACCATGACAGGATGAGATGTACCATGACAGGATGAGATGTACCATGACAGGATGAGATGCACCATGACAGGATGAGATGTACCATGACAGAATGAGATGTACCATGACAGGATGAGATGCACCATGACAGGATGAGATGCACCATGACAGGATGAGATGTACCATGACAGGATGAGATGCACCATGACAGGATGAGATGTACCATGACAGGATGAGATGTACCATGACAGGATGAGATGTACCATGACAGGATGAGATGTACCATGACAGGATGAGATGTACCATGACAGGATGAGATGTACCATGACAGGATGAGATGTACCATGACAGGATGAGATGTACCATGACAGGATGAGATGTACCATGACAGGATGAGATGTGCCATGACAGAATGAGATGTGCCATGACAGAATGAGATGTACCATGACAGGATGAGATGCACCATGACAGGATGAGATGTACCATGACAGGATGAGATGTACCATGACAGGATGAGATGTACCATGACAGGATGAGATGTGCCATGACAGAATGAGATGTACCATGACCGGATGAGATGCACCATGACAGGATGAGATGCACCATGACAGGATGAGATGCACCATGACAGGATGAGATGTACCATGACAGAATGAGATGTACCATGACAGGATGAGATGCAGCATGACAGGATGAGATGCACCATGACAGGATGAGATGCACCATGACAGGATGAGATGTACCATGACAGGATGAGATGTACCATGACAGGATGAGATGTACCATGACAGGATGAGATGTACCATGACAGGATGAGATGAACCATGACAGGATGAGATGTACCATGACAGGATGAGATGTACCATGACAGGCACGGGTAAGAAGAAAACAAGAAAGTGGAATCGGATTGTTGAAAAAGAGTGTGTGCATGGGGACGTGTGGAAATGACCAAACCCAGAAAAAAGGCAGCAGGTAAAGGCGCGGCCTTGCCAAACTTCCCTTCCGAGCCTCTCACTAGCCTGCCTCTCACCTGTAGCCGCTCTTGCAGGGCTGTGAGCAGCAGCCCTCTGAACAGCAGCTCCTCTGCTACAGCCGGTGACACCGCCTCCCACACGAACAGCTGTAGCAGGTCCAGAAGAGGTAAGGCCGTGGCAGCTGTAGCAGAGGCAGCTGTAGCAGTCGCAGCTGTAGCAGCTACATCCCCTCCAGCCCCAGAGGACCCAGCAACAAGGCTGTAGCACACACACTATCCCCCGCTCCTCGTGCTCCTGCTCCTGCTGCTGCTGCTGCTAGTTCTGGTAATCCCCCTGCCGCATCCTCTTCAGCATCTGTCTGAAGTGAATTCAATGAGGAAAACAGAGCCCATAGAACAGAGCCGCCCGCTGCCCCTGCCACAATCGCCTTCCACCAGCTATCGTCCCCCCTCCCTAACGCTCCCCTCTCCCCGTCCCCATCCCCCCCACAGTGGTTGATACAATGGTGATTTCTGAAGGGAGGGGCTAATGTGGAGAGGCATACAGACATCAGGCATTGGAGCACACCCTCTCACTCGGGCATGGACTCCGAGGCCCAGGCACACTGGAAGCCAACGATGCCTATCAGCACCAGCCCTACAGTTTGACCCCAAACTTCTCCTCAAACTGCTTGTCTGTACATAAGAGAAACTGCTGCAAGCACACCCTTTTCTTTGACCCTTCCAAATCCAGAAGGCGCCGCTCTGTGACTACTCTCTCCCCTGGCTCATCATTGCCGGCGACAACCCCATATAACGGCCCACTCTTCCCTTCTTCCGCTCCCCATTCAATCCCCTCTACCCCCTCCACTTTGTCAGACACAGAACCCAGCTTGCTCCTCTCTTTCCCAGCTCCTATTGAAACACCCCTCCTGTCCCCAACACTCGTCTGAATAGCAATCTCATGTGCCACAACCGCATAACCCATTCGCACCAGTGCCGCATGTCGCGGTCTGATTCGCCGATCCAAACTGTACCCAAGAAATGTTGGGTAAGGAAGCACCTCCATTATAGAGAGCCCCATGTCCCGTTTTAAGTACTCCACCTTGGACTTGACGTTCGTATTCCAACTGTAATAGATAGACGGCGGGTACCTCATAATCAAATCCACAACCAACCGATGAGCCCTGCGTCTCTCGACACTAAGTGCTCGGGAATCATTTTCCCCTTCCAAACAGTTACCTCCATTACCTTCCCCCAACCTTTGCGTCCCATTTCCCACTTCTCCACTGCTCCGTAATTCTTCTTCCACTTCTCGCACAAGCTCTCTAAAAGTTTCCCTCATGACATCTTCACTAGAAGCTAGTAGCAAAGGAAATTGTGCCACCACCCGCAAAGCATTCTCTTGGCCAATCAAGTCAGCCAATACCGCCACCTTGCCTTGTACATTCTCCTTCGATAGGTAAAGAACCTGCGAGAAGCTCCTCACCATTCTCCCTGCTGCCTCCTCCCCCACCAGCTCCACAAAGAATCGGAGCTTAGCTAAGAGAGTTTCTTTGCTGAAACCGATGATGTTGGGGCCACGACGAAGCACAGAGCTTGCAATGGAGGACGAGCCTGGGGGAGTGAAGGACTGGAGGATGGCAATATTCTCTGCAATGCGATAGGGAGAATATGAGAGAATGGTTGGAAAGTTCAGGATAAGCCTGCTAAGGTGGCTCTTGTCCAGATGCGGCTCATCTAGTCGCTGCTTCAGGGGGCTTGTATCGGTGGTATCCGCTTCTACTTTCCTTCCAGATTTCGCCTTGAGATAGGC